GCCCAGTCTGAATCAGTTAGCCCGCTAAAGGCCCTCCTACTGTCGCCCAATGTCGCCCATCGACCTTTCTAGCTTCCTCTATCCTTCCAAGAGCTCCCAATTTCTATTTCCACTACCTTATCTCCTCGACAGTTACGAGGTCATCTGTATAACAGCTGAGGTAAGTTAGTGCTATAACGACCTGTAGCCTCATCGCCGACCGCTCCAATATGTCATAAAATGTCTCAAAGTCCTCACTATCTCCCCCTTCGTCTATCGCCTCTAAAGTCTTCATCGTTTCCTTCCAGTACCGGTTGTGAGCGGCTAACACCCTGAGTATTGCTCCATCTGTTACTACTCTCCCTTACTCTCCAGCTTTCCTGGCTTCGCTTATCTTCAACCTCTCAGCCTCTCTGGTCGTCTCGTACCATGCCCTTATCCGAGACCGCCCTTCGAAGGGTGTTATTCGGAACATGTATTTTATCCTCCGTCCTTCTTCTATTCCAATCCAAAGCCCTGTCCCCCTTGCCTCACGCAAGGCACGGCGGAAACACTCTGTCTCCTCAACTATGCACAGTCTGGTATGGAGCTGGAGTTCTATGATCACTAACACTAATGGTCCATTCAGTCTCCCTACCACGTGTAATGAGTACCAATCCGACGTGTGTAGTGCAGTCCCGCTCATGTCCCGTCGCCACTCACCTGCGTAACTTTGTCTTCCGTTGTCTCGCTTTCTGCAGATCGCTTACTAGTTTCTCTGCGTGATACGCTTCTAGCCTTTACCCTCTCCAGAAAGTCTGATCCCCACGCCTGGACATTCTCTCTTTCTTCCCTAAACAGTTTGTCTAACTCTCTTGTTACGAGTTCAGCCCTTCGCAATTTACCCTCGTCTTGACACGACAAGACCTCCCTTAACTTGTCTCCCAACTTCTTTACCTGGTGCAAGAGTGGTTCTTTAACGCGCCTCCTCACTCTTCTGACTGCCTCACTCTCCTCTTCCATACTCAGTCCACATCTTTCTCCAGCTCACCCTCTCACCCTCGCTCTAGCCTCCTCTACCATCTCATCGTGGTAGTGCTTCGCGCGCATATAACCATGAGACCATATCATCACATCATAGGAAATCGAGGTCTGGAAGGTCACTTGCGCCAGTACATCAGCTCTACGCTCGTGGATCAAATCCCTAGCTCGTAGTCTACACTCACTCGCCGTCAAGTCCTCGTCTACGTACGCTCGGAGAAGTACTGTCACAGTGTATCATGTGCTTACCAGTTGCTCTTCTACACGCATCGCCGTGGTCGTCCTTCCCGGCATTCCCTAAGCTGAGACCTCGAAGAGAAATCTCGCGTCCTCTAGCCCCGCATAATCGATTTTTGCCCGTCTCCTGCAGTACCTAATCAGATCGATAGGCCTCAGACAGTCCACCCAGCTCGTAACATCTATGATGTCGTCAAGGGTCTCTCTACTGGGCGGCCCCCACCTCACACAAATAGCGTAGTATACCTCCTTGAAGCGGGGCGCAAAGCCCTCCCAGAGCGCGTAAAGTGTGTGATCCACCGCTCTCCTCAAACGATCCACGCTCCCATAGGTCTGCCCTATCACGAAGGTAGGAACTCCGAACCGCCAATCCTTTCTCGGGTAGAGGGTCGGATGTGGTGGACCGTATACCAAGCAGCTCCTACTCGTCCTCCCTCCAGCAAGTCTCGCCAATTGCTGATTAACGATCACTCTGGCCAACAACTCGCTTCTCTACCAACTCCTGCTCGCCCCTGCGAGCGTTAGCCCTATCTCCAAATCGTGTGTTCTATCTGCTATTAGATGTCCGACCCCTTCTAGATCATGAGTTCTCTCGGGTCGCTCATCTCGTCGTATCACTGTCCATAGGAAGAGCCCCTCAGTGAGCCACGTTCCCAAGTATCGTATCGGTACACACCCTGCCTCTTCTAACGCCACAGGAAGTGGTATGTCGTATCCAACCGCCGTCTCTCTGGGTCTCACAAGCTTCCTCACGCTATACGATTCGGACTCCCGTGAGAAAACATAAGCTAACCAGGCCGCTGAGTCACTCCTCATTTCTTCTCCTACTCTTGGTCAGCATCACTCTACTCCCTCCGATACACCCCATCTCTCGACGTTGCTGACCCTTCTGACAACTCTCGTGCTCAGGTCCAGTATGGTCGAATAGGTTCAGTAGCCAGACTCACTCATCCGTCGCTCTGGCGCGCTTCTCTACCTCCTACGCCCGGACCGCTACTCCTATCCTGGAAAAATGAGCGTCTATAACGTCAATCTCCTCCTCGTCAACCTCTCTCTCTGGGTCGACCCAGTCTAGTTCCCACAGCTCCTCGTCGTCCTCTCGCTCCCAACCCTCGTCGTCAAACTCGTCCTCGACGCGGTATGGCGCCTGTCCTATGGCCTGGTAGTATTCCGTCAACTGATGGCCGTATATCAGAGGTCGCCCCACGTCCTCACTCCACCAGCTCCCCCAGTCGTCTGAGAAGAGCCGCCCGATGCAGGTCACGTACTCGTGGCCTGCTCGGAGCTCACGGTCTAGCCAATCCCAAACGCACAAAGGCTGGGGCCACTCGTCGTCTATTGAGCGGATCAGCTCTATAAGCTGAACCCTTTCGTCTCCCCAACGAGGCCCACCTGTCGCAAGCGAATAATAGATGTAGTCTAAGTCGGCAGGCCTTCTCGCCAGGATCTTGAGATCCTGATAGGCCAGGTATGTCTCGACCACTCCACCAATACTTCCAAAGACGCTCTCTACTACGAACGTCGGAACTATCGCCCGCAGTTTCTTAACGCTGTACGGGAAAAACCCGTCCGGTGCTACCACCAGCTCCCCCGTGATATCAAGAGGAGGGCGTCCGTGAAATAGGGTCAACGAGTCGCTCGCGTCCTCCGCTCGGAAAGCAGCTACCTCTTCCCCTAGGTAGCGTAGCGCCCTGCTAACTGCGTCACTAGTCCCTGTCGTCGCGAGGTCCACCACGGCCTCCCTGACCGCACCCGGTCCCAAATATAAGTAGGCTCTCACTACGCCCACTCCTTGCCCCGGCCGGTGCTCTCTGTACGTCCAAAGCCACACGTCCTCGGACAGGATTATGAACCTCCACGCAATATGGCCGTCAGCGTGTCGAATGCTGCGTCCGGGGATCGTGAGCTCGACCAGATTCCCTTCTATGAGTTCAGGGGGCTCCAAGTCCCAGTCAATGGTAGCCCCATAGACCTCTACTTGCCCCCGCGGCCACATTCAACTGACGGCTAGAGCGAACGCAGCAAGAGGGAGGTGTAAACTGAAAATTTCCGTCACTTGCTTCACGCCTTCGGGATCAAGCTAGTAGGTTTTACCGCAACGTCCCTTTCCCCTCTCCTTCTAAGGAATTCTTTCGTATTTTTCAATTATGAATTAAAGAAAATGTATTTGGTTAAGATAAAATTCCTTTCTTAGTTTATATATATTAAGGGTCAATATAAATAAGCCCGCCGAGTTTGATGCTTTCTAGGGGTAAAAATAAAATTTGGGGAATTTCCTAAAATTTCGGCAGCGTTTCGCCTCCCCCCGTTGGGATGGGTTTCGGGACTATTGTCCCTAGACAAATGCTACCTACCTAGAACTAAGCCAAATGAAACAGGAGGAAGGCCGCTGAAAGAAACAAATTTCTAACGTATTTTTAATTAATTTCCTTAATCGTTTTCAATATATATATATACGATATATATATATATATATATATAAAAATTGATAATTTAAATTAGGAAATTTTGCGAA